AGAGAGAGAGAGAGAGAGAGAGAAGAATGTATGTAGAGAAGGAAGAAATAAAGAGAGAGAGAGTTGAGTAGAGTGAGAGACCGAAATTGACACATGTAGAGATGATCAGCACTGATGAGATAGAATCGGAGAAAAGAAGAGAAGTGAGAGAGAGATTACGAAGTTAGAGTATGAGAGAGAAGGAGATGAGAGGGAGAGACATCTTTATGTATGAGTCTGGAGAGAGAGAGAGAGAGAGAGAGGAGAGAGAGAGAAGAGAGAGATAGATGAAGTAGAGAATGAGAGAGAGTAGCAGAAGAGAAACATATTGAGGATTATCGAGGGATATATGAGAGGAGAGAAATCGAGAGAATGAAGGGAGAGAGGAGAGAGNTGTTGTTAGCATCGTAGTTATTGATGCTTTGTTGTTGGTGGTGTGGTGTTGTTGGTATTATTCTTTATCCTTTTCATCATCGTATCATGTTTCTTTTCTTCTTTCTTCTTCTTTCTTTTTTCGATATTGATACTTTTGTGTTCTCACATAATCTGCAGATTGTAGGCCTACCTACTTTTCCGGTCAAACTTCCCTATCACTTTATCAATAAATTTGTTCAAATTATGCGAGACTTAATAATATTCAATAAGTGAAATAAGTGCACATTCGTCCAGCTGAAAGATATACATTTATCTATCTATAGATATGCAAGTCTAAACTAATAGATATGTATTTATTTCAGTTTCAAAAATCCGGCCTCTAATCATTATATTAATAAGGTGAGAACATTTCAAAGGCTACATAGTCTCGAGGTATAGATTATATAGGCCTAAGTCTTTGATCATACATAGGCCTTGGTAGCCGTGTATAATGCAGTGAAATAAAATGAATTTGAGAATATGCTTATAGACACCAGTTGATAGATACATGAATATCTTTGTGTTTAATTGTCAGTTGTGAATTTCTCTCTCTCTCTCTCTCTCTCTCTCTCTCTCTCTCTCTCTCTCTCTCTCTCTCTCTCTCTCTCTCTCTCTCTCTCTCTCTCTCTCTCTCTCTCCATGTATATACATATATATATATATAATATATATATATATATATATATATATATATATATATATATATATATATTATCCTCTCTCTCTCTCTATATATATATATATATATATATATATATATATATATATATATATATATAGATAGATAGATAGATAGATAGATAGATAATAGATAGATAGATAGATAAATATAGATATAGAGATAGATAGAGATATATGCGTGTGTGTGTGTGTGCATTTGCGGGTGTGTGTATATGGGCGTGCTTGTGCTTGTGCGTGCCTGTGTGTGTGCGTCCCTTATTCTATCTCCTAGTTTTCATCCCTCCATTTCCTTACTTGTATGAAACTCAAAGTAAAAGCCCTTACGCCCCCTTCCGCCTCAACAGCAGCATGAGCCTCCACCGCGGCCTCCTGCAGTACCTCGACTGGGTGTCCCGTCCGCTGCGAGCCGACACACCCGGGATCACGTACGGCCGCCTGAAGCCCTACCACTTCCTGACGTGGGTCCTGATAGCTGTTGTGTCCGCGCCGCTGCACCCGAGGCTGTGGACGACGGAGCGGCACACAGGCGGCCAGCCCTCTCGCGACCCACGTCCAACTTCCTCTGGGGACGAACCCTACGGATACTACCGCGTGTCCACCGCCGCCGTCTGGAGCATCGTCAGGCAGGAGGTCGCTTCCTTCTTCCTCGGCCTGGACCTCACTCCCGACGGCAAATTCCCGGGGACGACTTGGCTTCAGATGCACCCGGTGAATGGGAGCGACGACCGCGAGGAACCGAGTCCCGGCGAGGGTAATTTCTCGCTGTTCCACCGGCGTTTTTCACTGCGCGAGTGTCTGGAGTTGGTCGACCGCCTGGAGAACAGCTCGCACGTGAGGAATCACACCCGGGTCATATTCATCACGAAAGTCCACGTCCTCCCTGAGGTCGCCCTCTTCGTCTCTCGCCTCAACTTGACCCACTGGAGCCAAGGAGACCGGCCTCCGTTCTGGCTGCTGTCGCATTCGGTTCAGTTTGCTGATTTCGCTTATGAAGAAGTTGTGAAGGCCCTTGTATGCGTTTCGTTCGTTCTGCATTGCTTTTGCTGCATCTTTGAGTTCGCGTCGACAGACAGACTAGGTTACAGAAGATTCATCAATATCAATATCATCTTCAATTTGCTGATCTTCTACTTTCTTTATGTGATGACCAGCGCCTACCTCGATTTCACTTCCTTCCGTACAAGAACGTTTAACAAAAGGGACATGTCGTTCCAGCTGATCTCCGGAAAACGAGTGGCCGACACTGCCAGCATAATTTCTGACACGAATTTCCATATTTGGAAGAAGTTCAGGAAGCCGGTGCTTGAAGAAGATAAGGACAATCCGTTGTTAGATGATGTTTCAGATAAATTTGACGAAGTCTTCGATTTAGGAGTCGATGTTGAGGAACAGGCTAAGGAAAATGACACAGATGGCCAAGAAGACCCCCACAAGCGCAGCCTCGTGGACTACTTTGACAATGACTATGACAGTTTCGAAGGCCCTGAAAGTCTTGATGATGATCATGACAATGAGAGACACCCTCGTGATTATCATGATTATTATGAATATCAAAGTCCTCCTAATGATTCTTATGATTATCGAGAAATTCAAGGTCGCCGTCGTGGTGGTCCTCGCAGCCGTAAGAAACTCGAACGTCGTCTTCCGGATCTTCCTCGCGGTCACGATGAGTTTGAACATCGGCGCTTTGGTCCTCCTGGCAGCCGTCGTCGTGGACCTGAAAGTCGTCGTCTTGGTTCTCCTCAAGAGCCTCATCTGCACGGAGTTCCCGAGTTACACGAGAAGTCGGAAACCATCTCGAACAGCACACGAGTCGTTCGACAAACCGAGGAACTGCTTCGAATTTTCAAAGCTTTCAGGCACGGAGCAGCCATCGTGGTGGCGCTGTGTGTGGGCAAGATTACGTACGAGATTATGTACCGATCTTGGATTATTAAGTTGATGTTCGTCGGGGCTTTGTGTGTCTTCGCGCCCGCCGCCTTCTTCGTAAATCTGGCTGGCTCGAACGGCGACATGACCTTCTGGCAATCCGTTCATAACGCATTCGGACAAGTCTCTCAGATCTCCCCGGGCTTCGATAATCCCTCCGCCTGGATTCTCGTGGCTTTGCTGTGTCTACTCATTAGATATACACTGCCTCATTATCATTCGATATCTGACCATACCATTTATTCAGATTAGAGCTGAACAGAGGACTTGTAAGAAATATTGCGTTTGGAACTGCCATTTTGTAGCTGAAGGAAAACGGTTTGATAGGTTTAGGAATGTTATGTTTAATAGAGGGATATATCTTCACGACAAAATGAAAAATGACAGATTGTATAAGTTGTTTAGCGTCGAAAAATAGTTATGGGTCTTTTTTTTTTTTACATTTCATTTACTTATAACAGATAGTAGTAGGTTGTAATCTACATGTTTGCTGTTCTCCTTTTTTGATTGTTTACATTTCTTATGTTGTATTTTTGTGTATATTTGAAGAATTTTGTAAGTAGGGGAACGGATAGGTGATCCAGAAGCCAAATTAAGTGAAATGGAAGTAAAATCAGTTTTATAGATATTTCCATTTCTTAAGGAAAGTGTAAAGCTAGTAAGTATCATCAAACAGTGTTGCAAATACAATGCCTCATTATTTTTTTTAAGTATTTGTTGTTTTTTCCCTTTTAATTTTGGGCTCTGATTATTTACGATGTCCTCATGACCTTTCATTCTTTCATTACATGTGCCAGAGGAATTAGTATCCGTAAGATGAGCAATCTTATCCTCTCTCTCTCTCTCTCTCTCTCTCTCTCTCTCTCTCTCTCTCTCTCTCTCTCTCTCTCTCTCTCTCTCTCTCTCTCTCTCTCTCTCTCTCTCTCTCTCTCTCTCTCTCTCTCTCTCTCTCTCTCTCTCTCTCTCTCTCTCTCTCTCCTCTCTCTCTCTCTCTCTCTCTCTCTCTCTCTCTCTCTCTCTCTCTCTCTCTCTCTCTCTCTCTCTCTCTCTCTCTCTCTCTCTCTCTCTCTCTCTCTCTCTCTCTCTCGCTTTGTCCTTTTTCAAGGAAGTGAGCTTACAGATATTTCCTAATGAAAGACACAGTAGTCCAGATGCAGTTGAGGTTTGAATATGCATAAAGACACACATTTTACTTTTCCACAAATGTGTGTTGGCAAAATACACATACAAGTGCACACTTGTAAATAAATAGATAAATAATAAGCTATGGTAAATATTTCTTTTTTCAGTTTCTTCTTAGCCTTTCTGTGTTGATGATATACCTATAATGTAAATATCAATAAACTTCCTCGTAAAAATAGTTGTTTCTTTAACCCGCCCATTTCAAAAATTCTTTAATCCTCCCAGTTTAAAGATTCTGACCACTGCCCTGTATGAAAACGTGTATTTTGCAAACATTTAAGAGAGAAAATGTATGGTGTAAAGTCTATTATAGAAAATCATACTAGGAATAAGAAGACTTATCTGAAACTATCCTGAAATATGATCGTAAATGCTTATAAATAATTGAGCCGCAACCACCATCTCATATGGTGTATTACCATTACTTATGTCTCTCTCTCTCTCTCTCTCTCTCTCTCTCTCTCTCTCTCTCTCTCTCTCTCTCTCTCTCTCTCTCTCTCTCTCTCTCTCTCTCTCTCAACACACACACACACACATACTCTCTCTCTCTCTCTCTCTCTCTCTCTCTCTCTCTCTCTCTCTCTCTCTCTCTCTCTCTCTCTCTCTCTCTCTCTCTCTCTCTCTCTCTCTCTCTCTCTCTCTCTCTCATTCACTTTCTTTCTGTATAGGTATACACAAACATACACACAAACAATCCTAATTTTCACAGACTCCCAGAAACATCACAACCGCTAGCGAAAGGTCATTCATGAGTCCATATCTTGCATCCATTCTAGACTACCTCCTAAGTCGCCAATCCGCGTGTTGGTAGAGTAAGCGACGTCAATAAACAAACGTGATAATACAGCGCCCGGAACATTTTAATTCTTTGTATACATTTCTTATATCGACTGTTGCTAGGCCTTGTAAGTTTGAATTGTTAGAAGTCATGGCTGTAATGGTTGAGAGTGAGTTATTTTATTTGGTCGTGAGGATTATTTGTTGATTATTAAGTGCAGCAAACGCTATTATTGATTCCCTCAGATTGTTAATTTTTTTGTTTAACTGGAAATCAAATGTTGTTGGCTAAAAGATTCGTTAATTTGATAATTCTGTATATAGTTCGGTATATTAATAGCGGATAACAAACAGGTTTTGAGTGGGAAAAAAATGTATGGAATGGTTACCTTGACGTAAACTGAGACGCTTTTCATCAATGGCAAAAGGTGCACAAATATATTTCTGAAGTTGCCGTGATTAGGCGTGTCCGAGGGGAGGGTTGATCTCCACCCCCCCCCCCCACCGCCAGCTACACCTAAGGCAGACTGTCATCCCCTTGAATACACAGCAAGATAGAGCTGAAATTAGGATCTGAACTCGGGCTGTGAGAGACACTTTCCACGATGACATTCCTTGTCTTATGCCAGCAGATTATTTCTTGTATCAATGATTGCAATTTTTTTCTCTCTAAGTATATCAATTTCATTTTGCACTAGCTTAGTAAATATATATCGTAAAGAATAATCATTGATGTCAAATCGTACATTAAGTAAACCCCATTTGCTATCATGTTAGTTTCACCCAACTACATGTTACTTACAAGGTATATATTTAGTACATGTAGTAAACAGAGTAGCAGAGTGGAAGACGCTTCATGGGTAGCATTTATGTAGATGTTGTTTATATGGAAGATATCAGATATGATTTTTTAGTAAATGTATAGATGTCATCCACTGAGAATTTTTTCTTGAAATCATAGAAGCAGTGTAATATCCAGATCCATTTAGAATTTGCCATGATATGATGAAAGGACAAAAATTTGATTTATTTTAGTAATCCAATGTTTAGTTGCTGCAGTCTCCGTTGCCCAGCAAGGGCCACTAAACCTCCACCTGGCAAGGTAGAAAGTAGACTGGTTCCTTAATTGAAGATATAACGTAAGGGTTTACAGCTTTCTCTTGCCATGATATATATGGTTAAGATTTATTGGGCTTTACCTGAGCAATGATAGGTGTGGAGGCTGCACCTATCAGCACAAGAACAATTAATGGTTATAATGATTTACATGTTTATACTGCTTGTTTCATATAATTCAACTAATATTATTATAAGGTTAGAGTATACATAGGTATACTCAAGCTGTTCATTTATGATATACTTGTAAATGACCTTCTTCTTTCTTCTTCCTTCTTCTTCTTCTTCTTTCTTCTTCAGCTTTCTTCTTCTTTTTTCTTCTATTTTTATTATTATTTTATTATTATTATTATTATTATTATTATTATTATTATTATTATTATTATTATTATTATTATTATTATTATTATTATTATTATTATTATTATTATTATTATTATTATTATTATTATATTATTATAATAATAATAATAATAATAATAATAATAATAATACTTCTTTATCAACTTTTCTACCTCATCTATTTCTACTTCTTCAGTTTCTTCTTTGATAAAGTAATTACTTAATAGTTATGTTCGACTAATTAGTCAGATATCTTTGGATGGATAGCAAATTAAATATTTGATTATTTTGTATAGCTTTTATACGTGTAATTTATTTTTTTATCCTTTTTTTATTATTATTTTTTAAGCTGTTTTGTTTTATGTACTGGCAGCTTAATCATCTTAGAGGCTACAAAGGCTACAAAGGCTACAAAATAACATTATATGCTAACATACTTGTATGACTGTTGTTTTATGAATGGAAGACAATGAAATTTATCCATGAAATTCTGATAGCATACTTTAGGCATTGTAACATTTGCATATTTACCTTTTAAAACAATAATTTCAGGAAATTTTAAAGTAGTCATGATGTGGCGTCATTGGTTCGGACTGGCTAGAAGATGCACAGTTGCAGACCATCAGACATGTATACAAATGTCTTTCTTGCGACCTATATCTTCATCCAGTTATTGTTTAGCGCGGGGTGCTTCAAGGAAACCCTTTGATGGAGGTAAAGATGAGTTCAGCCATTTAAATTCATACATAATTTATAGATGAATGCTGTGTAGGATCTTTTGCATATATAGAAATTCCTAGAAACATTCTGAATTGGTTTGGTTCTGGTGCAGGTACAGTGACTGTCACAGAGGATACTTATGGAAGAGAATCTCCCAAGGAACTTCTGGACAATGCAACAACCTACAGTGAGCAAGAGCCACACACTCATGAGGATTTGTGGACAGAAGGACCCTATCCACACAAGAGTAACTTTAAGTATGTGTGTGGGGGGGGGGGTGGATTATTCTTGTACTTAATAATGTCTGATCATAATCTTCAATAAGGGAATATCATTCTTAGGGCAGGCACGTGATTTGATATGATATATGTAAGTCATTAATCTTGTGAGCCTGTTTATTTATGTACACATTTATTTACTTACCTGTATTGCTCCTCTTTCCCTGCTGCAGACAGAGTCAAGCAAAGAATTCCAGAAGGCCAAAAGTGGATCCCCGTGAAACATCAGTATTATTATTTCCAGGTCAAGGTACACAATATGTAGGTGAGTAATGTGTGACTCATTGCCTGTTATACACTGCAGGCAATATTTTTATTGTTGATTCTGCACACTATGTTGTTTTTTATTTCTGTATGTCCAAGCTCTGTCTGATACCATCTTGTACACTGTATATCATCCAGATTTATTATATTTTATTTCATTTTTTCCACAGGAATGGGTAAGGAGCTACTGAAGTATCCAAACGTAAATGAGATGTATGAAGTAGCCTCACAGATCCTTGGCTACGACCTCCTTGAGATTTGTCTCTCTGGCCCATCAAAGCAGCTTAGTAAAACCATTTATCAACAGCCAGCCATTGTTGTGTCATCTTTAGCTGCAGTTGAAAAGTAAATATTCACAGAGTATATTTAATTAGCTTTGTTATTTACATTTGATTGAAGTTGTAGATTTCCCTATCATCTTGAATTATGTAATAGATTTGCTAAGGAGTCATTAAGCATATATATTATGCATTGAATATGCAACTAGTATGTCACATATACTTCTAGAATGACATTTTTTACTCCACACTATTGTAAATCATAAATTCAAAGTCCGTATGAGGCTCCTTTTTCTTATCTTTCTTCTTGCGCAATTTTCTTAGACTACGGGAAGAGAACCCAGCTTTGCTTGGAGGATTTAGTGTTGGAGAAATTACTGCGCTTACATTCGCTGGTGTTTTTTCTTTCGAGGATGGTAGGTTGTATTTTGCAAACAGCAGAATGTAGTTGATTAAGGATAACAGTTTTCCGAAGGTAAAAATACTACTTTTTAATGCAAGTAGTAGGAATATGATTTTTTGTAATGCCTTATATTGTTGATATTGACTAGTTGTTTGGTACTAGTTTAAAGACTGTCATATCTAACAGAAATATTTGGTGCTGCTTCTCACTTCATACCTACTTTTAGATATTGTCTATAAGAGTTTGATTTATTTAACTCTCCTGTATCTTACAAAACATTAAACATTGAAAAAAAGAAAAAAAAATCATATTTAGATATGAGAATTACATTTTATAGCCATAAGATTGGTGAAAGTACGGGCCGAAGCCATGCAGCTAGCATCAGAAATTGTTCCAAGCGGCATGATGACCGTTTTTTATGGTCCTGATTCGCGGTTGGGATTCGCATGCTCAGTCGCCAAGGAATTTTGCCAGAGACAGGGATTAACGGAAGCAGACTGTCGTATTGCAAGCTACCTGTACCCACACTGTAAAGTGGTTGCTGGAAATGAGGAAGTAAGTTGTTCTGTTTTGTAGATATTTATATGTATGTATATTTTCTTTCTTTTTCCTTTTTCTTTTTTGAGAAAATAAGTTCAGTGCGATGTTCATTGTTCCTGCCTCCTTTTTGATCCAGTTACTTTCATTTTCATTTTCCTTGATGTTTTGTTTATATGGCATTTATCTTTTGCTGTTTTTATTGACTGTTTCTTGTGTGTATGGATATTGCACTTCCATTTACATTTCTTTTCGTTCAGAATTAGATTTTGTAGATTCTCAGCTCTTAAAAGGAAATAGTAATGTATAGAATCACTTGCTTTTTGCTTTGTCCCCAGGCTTTGTCTTTCATTGAGGAGAACAAAGCTGACTTCCGCCTGAAACGTCTCAAGCGATTGCCAGTTTCAGGGGCCTTCCACACAGATCTCATGCTGCCTGCCGTCTCAGCACTTAAGAAGGTGAAGAACAAGGCATTTTATAGTATCTCAGATTATCTTTGGCTCCTATTGATGATGGTACATTATTTTTGGCTCCTATTAATGATGGTACAAAAGGGAAAGATATTTCATATCCAGACAAAATTCAGAAAAAGATGAAAAAAATCCTCTTCAGAATAACACATGCTATTTTCCTCCTCTCTTGACAGGTTTTAAACACAATAACCGTGGAAAACCCGCTCATTCCAGTCCACTCCAACATCGACGGCAAGTATTACAAGGATGCGGAACAGGTCAAAAAGCAGCTTCCAAGACAAATTTGCAAACCAGTTAAATGGGAGCAAACAATGCACATTTTGTATGAGAGAAACAGAGGAACTGCTTTTCCACTGACTTTCGAATGTGGACCTGGTAAATCCTTAAAGGCTATTCTGAAAATGTGTAATGCCAAAGCCTTTGATTCTTGTTCTGCTATAGAGGCATAAATTACTCTTAAAATATGCTAATTGTGTGTATATACTTTTTTTAAGAGAGAAAGAAAAAATGATAACTACATGCAACAGAAACTGAAAGCAGAAACAAATCTCAAGTGTACAGAGTTAGTTAATAAAATGTGTAAATTATGTAAGCCTCTTCATTTTTTTCTACAGTAGCAAGAAGCCTTTTATTCCATATATAAAAAAGTCTTAGGAAGTTTAAATCTCCTATATCATATTTTCATATTTAACCTTATAAGAATTTTATGGATATCATGGCTTCAACTTTTTTTCAATGTTGATCTCATATCATGCTATTGCTCTGCAAAACTGGTTTTCCAAACATGAAAAGATGCTTTTTTTTTCTTTTTTTCCAATGTAACGCAGAATAATATAGAACAAAGAAAACTAGTTATTGTAATTGCTGACCTGTAAAAATGGCATTAATCTCCTTTAATTCAGAAAGACAGTATTTAGGATATCATGGCTTCAACTTTTTGTTGATCTCATATCATGCTATTGCTCAGCAAAACTGGTTTTCCAAACATGAAAAGATGCTTTTTTTTTTTTTTTTTTTTTTTTTTTTCCTTTCATGGAAAATATGAAGAAATTAGACCAGATATACATCCTGATCATTTTCATTCCATTTCAGTCCAGTCTCATCTTTATTGCTCAAAAAATTTGAGTATTAAAAAGAAAAAAAATGTGCCTTATATTTGAATTTGACAGGATACCAACTTATACATAATGCATTTATTTATATTAAATATTTATTGTATTTCAATAAAAATACAATGATATATAAGTTGGAGTAATAAGACATTCATAATATATTTTCTCGGAAATTACATTAGGAAGGTCAAAATCCCTTTTTTTTTCTCAGCATATTGAGGTATGGGATATGTTGTAATTTTTGGCTCGTGAAGTGGAATTAAATGCATTTTATTCAGAAGAACTGTGATTAGGTGGCATTGCCCCTCTTTTTTATTCATCTCCAGAATTGTCTATTTTTATTTCTTTCATGAAAAAATTCAGAAATAAAAAAAGTGGAACAGACCTACCCTAATCACAGTCTGAATGTAAAGAGACCAGTTCCTTGTTCACCAATCAAATTATGACCCAAGTAAAATCAGGAAAAGGAGAAGAGTCTCTTCCTGTATTTTTTGACTGATTAAAATGTGTTAGATGCATTTTATTTGGAAAAAACAATTCTGCTACTTCTTTTTGTTTACATCTTGTATTCTTATAACTCTCCAAGATTATGTGTTTTCATGTGAGAAAACTGAATTATAATGAAAAGTGGTCATGCTTTTGTTCTTCTTCTTCTTCTTCTTCTTTTTTTTTTTTCTTTTTTTTTTTTTTGCTACACTGCATTAGATACATACAGAATTTCTCATTCAGGTTCTGGACATGAGAGCGCTTCACCAACTCCCTTTTTTCTCAGAATAAGTGATAAAAATTTAAAAGAAGAAAACAGGTAATACTTTTCCAGCTTTATAAGAAAGATTAAGTAGAAATCAAACCAAGATTATGTTTAATTTAAGAAATCAGCACTGATGATATTTTCTTGATCTGATAACTATATACTCTTAAAATTAAGTGATTCACATTGGCTTTGGGTGACCACAGAGCAAGGAATTCACACAAGGCAATTTGTAACCCCTTAGATCAGGGTGCCATGGCCATCACACCATGAAAAAATGGCTGAGGGCCATGTGACCAGAATATGCTATTGTGCAAGTGCGACAAGAATGACACACCTTGAGTGCACCAAGTTCTTGTAGGAAGATAAGACTCGGTGGGCATTTAGGAAGGGGCTTGCATTATTTCCATTGGTAAATGACTGTGGAATGTACCGTCTGTGAGCCATGACTGGAAGAGCACTGGTTCTAAGGAGGACATCATTTCCATGGTCAGGATCCTATTCCTACCTTCCATGACCAGAGACAGAGGGTGTATTTAATATGAAAATATAAAAAAATTATGCAACAAAATGCTACTTCATGTTTTTGTTATTGCATTAAGTTATAGACTATCTACAGATATGATATGGAGTCTGTGCAAAGAAAACAGTCTACTATCATCTTAGGTATTGGATGCAAATTCTTAAGAAAGCATCTAAATCTGAAAAAGGAAAGCCATACGTCACTTAATACATTACAATACATCACTTGAAATACAACATAACAAGAACATTGTATTTAAGACAGCTGGCCTTCCTCATAGCATGCCATAAATGAAAGCTTTAGAAAATAGTAGCATTATTCAATATATGACTGAAATCCCTAGAGCATCTGTCACATATCAGTCGCCTCAATCTATAGTGAACATTGTATGTCACACTAATCAAGTCGGTTCAGAGGGCTAAAATATTACCATAAAATGATGAGCTGATCTCATTTCTGCTGAATTTGTGCTTTTTAATTATGCAAATCAATCAGGTAGTCAAACAGATTTCTAATACTTTTATGCCAATAGCAATTTCTATTAAAGGACAAATATGTACAACTAATGGTCAAATTTTTGAAAAGTAAAATAAATATACAAATATTTGAAATGTAAAAAAAAAAAATAAAAAAAAAAAAAATTAATTAATTAATTAAATTTTATCTTCAATTCAGGTGAAGTAAATTTTTATTTTATTTCTTTTTTTTTTATTAAGAGGCAATGCTTACATAAAAAACATCAGCACCATACTACACTTACATACAAAGTAAAGCTTCCTTAATAAAGTATTTCATGCTAAACTAATGATCATTATTAATTGCTTTCGAGTCTGCATTCTGCAAATACAATATCATGAAATTTGAATACAATTACACCTACTTATCTTAGTAGTAATTAATTCTTTTTCAAAATATCAAAATGTTCATCTACAGTATACATACATATGATTTTACAATTATTCTCTGTTGCTGTTATTCCCTATTGCTTAAAAAAATAGTGGCTGCCTCAAGAAACAATTATTTTATACAATAGTTATTCATTGTATAGTAGTACAACAATTTCAAAGATATTACAAAACCACTGTAGATAGTGACGGGCAACCTGGCAAGAAACTGGCATGCAAAAGTGGTGCGTCTTGCATAAGGTTACTGCTTTTAGATCATATTTTCTTGCCTGATCTACCTTTAAAATTTTGAAAACACAGTGTGCCTTTTACGGAATTAAAAATACACCATGGATTTAAAAAGCACAAACAAAAGGGCTGGTGGTTTATGGTTTGATGTGTTCAAACTCAAAGTAGTCCTTATAGATTTGATGCATTATCAATATTTTTAATTTTCCGCTCCAAGACTAAGCCACAGCATCCATGCAATATCACCACTATGCACCACAGTTTCTGTTCTTCATTCTAAATTTAATTATTATATACTGTATATCCTCTGTTGAACAGGCAACTAACATGAAAGGAAAAATGGGAACAGATACACATTTACTTGCTGAAATACTGTAAATATTATTAATTATATTTGATCACAGCCATCTATGATTACTTCCTTACTGGGATAATATGAAGGAAAAGTATGCATTTATACTCTTTGAATGCACAAACCCTATTCCCTTTCCTAAGCCTAAAATCAGAAATGATATGAAAGCCAAAGCAAAGACAGCAAAATCACAGCATTCAGAAACATACTTGAATCAAAACCAACAGTTCTTGATGACAAAGGTATCAACAGGAATGAATATGGCATAGGAAGATTCAATACGGGAAGAAACAATTGCAATACTACTGTCAACAAAGGGTTGATTTCGATCATTTTTCAAAATATTTTCAAAAGGGTGTCCAAGAGCTAATTGCACCTATGTAATATCTGATATAGGCTGAAAGGTGAAATACTGAAGAGCACCTCACTTACATCTTTCTCACCTGAAAAAAAAGAGAGAGAGAAAAAAACCTAGTGCAACTATGAGTACATGGACAGTGAGACAAATTCACACATTCAATTCAAAAATAAAATCGCATACGAAAAACTGTACTATAAAATGCAAACAGAAACACAACACAGGCCGGATAAATAATTCCAAGAAGCTTCACTCAATTCGGTAACCACTTTACTGTGGGATGAAGAGACACAAGATTTTTTAAGTAAAGAAGATGCACGGTATGCTTTGTGTATAGCAGGTGATTAAACCTACGCCCTGTTAGGATGCATTCTACATGGCATTCTAGTAGGGGCTAGGGGTAGGAAAAGAAAAAATGAAAGAAAAAAAGTAACAAATAGGATAAAAACTGAACACCTGTGTGGCAATGATATTACATAATTAAGTTCACATCTGCCTATCTAATAGTCTAAAAAATAATCACGTGACAAACAAATCGCGCAGAGCTGAATTAAGACGTAAATTGAAAAAAAATTGTTTTTACTTTTCAATCTTAAAGCATTATAACCAGTTACAACTAATATTTTGATTTATCTTACAAGGTTATCTATCTAAATTCTTATGCTAGCATCTGATATCTAATCTTAATCATTACCTAGATGAGAAAATAATTTTAAGCTTAAATACACTTTTTTTTTTTTGTTGGTTTGTTTTTTCTTTAATTATAAAGAAAATACATTTCCTCTTACCAGTCTTTGCATAATGCAAATGTAGAAACACTTAATACCTAACACTTGTTATCAAAATATCTTATCATATTCAGTTACTAGAATGTATACTACAAATATTTCTAAATTTCAGTTAGATAAACCAGAAGACAAATCATATTATTGCTTTACAATCATAAGTTAATGCCTAGAGATTAAATTAGTTTTAAGCAAAGACATATAAAAGTCACCCCCCAAAAAAATTATAACAATAATCATACAATCAAAATTGAAAAAAATATATATATCCAAGAGCCATTTAACAGTATCTGCCCAGCTTCCTTTATATGTGCTCTACAAAAAATATATATATTCAGGCCTGTAATTTGTTTCTCGAGAAAGAGATTACATTGAAAATAATCAGAAAATAAGTCAGTTCTCAGACAGTTAAAGCAATACTATCTATTTCAATCTTATACAAAACATTTTCCATTTCCATGGAAAAAAAATAAAAATAGAAAGGCACCATTTAACTATATCTTCATTAAAACACTAAATTTTCTGGAGATTTTCATCTCTGTTTATTACATTACAGAGACTGAAAAAAAAACTTCCCATTCAATCCACAACAGAAAAAAAAGTCAACCAATCAATTAATACCAACACTTAAAGTGACTAATTTCACTTTGCCGTAAAAAATATTTAGCCAAAAACTGGCATCAGTAGTGTTCCTCAAAGTAATTTTTGACATCTTACCTGTCAACCTTCAAAAATGTTCTGTTGTTCCAAAGATGAAAAAAATGGCTAATCCCAACTGCAAAATATAAAAAGTCAAAACACCAGCCACAACTTATCTCTTAGAGGGCAATTTTGGAAGATTCAAATGGAGTAGTAAAATCACATCAATGATTTTCTGTCCTTGCATAGAACATGAAACAAATCAAGACGGGTGATGAACAGACTCCAATTTAGAGATAACATGAACATAATACAATTGTTACCAACCATAATTACTGAAAAGTAATAATGATAAAAATCTAAATAAAATAATCATTAAAGTAAATGAATGAAAACAAAACTCAAACTGCTTAAATTGAAAACCACAATTATATCTCATATATATGAGAGAAGTTCAGTACAAGGCAAACATATTGCACACAACAACAAAGAATTCAGTAAAAAAATAAACATGTGAATCACCATATGAAAGAAACTAAATGTACTTCAAAATGAAAAAGGTGCACCAAAAATGCATTAAAAATGCAATATTTATCATTCCTTTCACAACTTCAGAGTTAACCTTTGTCTGCACATAGAGTTTAGTTACTACATGAGAACTACAGTACAACAAGTATTGACAGATCATTGTGCTGGCAGTTTCATTATTTCAGTGTGCACAAAGAAGTGCACATACATACATGCATGCACAGATGCACACAGGCAAGCAAACATGCATGCTCCCACACTCACTTCACTCATGAGTAAAGTCTTTAAGTAACTTTGGGCAAGAACTTATCTTCCATGCATACATTTCATGATATACTTTACAATCAAAAGGAAATATGCCTCTCTCTGGCACACATGATTTTCCAATACATTCACACTTTTTTAAAACAAATATGCAAACACAAATGATACATATCCTTGTCAACTGAAGTCTTTCCGTAATTTGAGGACATGTGCTTGCCTTCTTTCTCTAATGACAACGAGAGAGGAAACTTCAAACAGAGAATATAAAAGCACCATATTTTTTCTTAGAAATTAGGAACTGTTTCATCTACTACTCTTCCACCAGATAATGCAAGACATTATCATCCTTAATCTTTTGGTATATCATTACAATCAGTCAAAAAAATCCAATACATAACTTTCATCTTTTGCTTACTGACACAAAGAACCTGAGTCTTGATACAAACCTTTTACAATCATGGTAAAGAAGGTGCAGACAAAGTTACTGAGGATAATGGCACAGTGGTATAGAGTCACCATTAGCAGATACATTATGTATACATACAAATAAAAAGAACATCACTATGTATACTCATTATGAGTATACTTCAACAGGTTGTCCCCACCTAAAGAAGTGACAAGGACAGCACAGAGGGAAGCATGTCACTGATAGTGTATTTCATGGCTTTTGAATCACAGAACACAACAACGAAGCACTCATACACCTCCCTCCTCTATTGGCAGAGCTCACAGATCATCGTACAGCTCCTCATCACTGCTGGAAGTGTCCATCTCATCACTCTCCCCTTGCTGTACAACACGTTCATTTTCTAATTTAATGTCCTCAAAATTTATATTTCCACTACCCTTTAAACTTTCAACCTGTGGGGAAATGTAAATATTTTAAAGAGGTAATAGACAATGAAAATGTATTATTACAATAATTATACAAATAAGAGGATTAATTAATAAGCAAATATATATAAAAAAAAACGTATATACAGGCAAATATGCAATCAATACATAACTATCAATAACAATAACATAGTAATCAAATGAACCATAATTATCCTCCCCTTTAAAATAACATTGTTTTTGTCACTGGAAACCTTAAGAAAAAAATGAAAGTTTGTATCATATTCACCAGGGTGACCCAGTAAAAGTCAAGAAGATATATTAAAGCAATACCTCAAATGGTGGCTGAGGAACCATAAGGAAGTCCTCTTCATCGCTCTCCGACCAGTCGTTCCACACATTTCTGACGGATTCAACTCGATCCAGTGACAAGAAGTCTCGCACTTTCTTAGCGAGGTGCTCTTGTTCGCTGTATGATTAGGAAGGTACACAGAAACATGAATATATGGTTAAACCCTTTGTGTTACGATGGTATGTCATAAATGCCATATCCAGTGTGATTTTACATAATTGATTGCTTACAAATAGATGGCTCCACAACTACTCAGTAACTAAAGAATCAACTACCACTCTTACATATTTCCCCTGTTTACCCTGATATAGCATTTCCTAGGTATAAATGGATGCTTCAACTAGTCTTCTTAAGAAAGTGAAAGCAATACCCTAGAGTATTGTCCAGCTTTGATACTCGTATATCCCCAACAAAATATATACAAAAAATAAACTAAAACCCCCCTCGTGCCCCCACCTAATAAACTATACAAAATAAGAAGTATTATAAAAACTTTTTCATTTTGCTTACCTTTTCCCACCTGCACTTGTTTCTGAAAGTGGCATTGTTCCTCCAGCTCTTAAAACCATTGCAACTTGATAGCCATCTTTGTGTCTGTCCAAGAGGAAAAATATTAAAACATGATTCTGTATATATACCACTACCTATCAAACTGGAATTATCACACATTCAATATTACAAAGAATTAATTTGCTATGGAAAGGACATCAACCATATACGCCTCATAAGGTTCCAACAAAATTTACACTTACCCGCCTTTCCCTTGCACAACTGTGACTGCAATGACCGAGCCTGTATCTAGGACGAGAGTATTATGATCAGCACAGCGGCTCGTTAGCCACTCGAACCAATTGCGTCTCGTTATGGTCACTTGACCTTTCTTGATGTCAAACACACAATCCTGGTGGAAAATGTAGAATTAAATGACTGACCTCTATATTCAGTGATGTCTTAGATGTGCATTACTGATAAATTAGTTTCTTTAAAAATGCATATTGTACGATTATTTGAATTTTAACGTTATAACTGTTTTGATAAACATGCATCAAGCACTATTTATTTCTGTAGCAATTTATATAATTCTATATAAAACTTTAATTCTACAATCACTGGATGACCTTAATATTCCTTTATAAAGATCTTCATTTACACTTACCTTCATTACAATGATTATCATTAGCTTATCTATACTACCAAGCTCCAAAAACTTCACCCGAACTTTTTATCCCTCCGTTTCTTTAACCAACTACACAAATATATCCTTACAGTTTTCATTTACAAGGTCCAAAATGACTTGAAGAGAACATGCAGTCACGTACAGTTTTAAAAATCCTAAATTTCTCTCTCTGTTACTTTACCTCCCAATCATCCAAGAATGTGAGGCCAAGAATGAGACATCCTGTGAGATATGCAATCTTCATAAGAATATGGTCATCTGGGAAGGAAAAAAGAAAAAGAAAATGAAACTGGTTAATGATAGTTCCTACTTATCCTTTGCTTTCTAAAACAGTACTATGTTCAATCATTCACAGTCTATTGTAACGGTGATGGGTAATGAAAACTGATACATATCTTTTACTTTCTAAAGTAACAATAGGAAGTCACAAAATCTTTGCAGATTTATCATCTTTTTCTTTCTGAATCAATTAATGCCTAAGATTAGATTCTTTGCATAACAGCAGTCTTTAAAATATATAATAATTACATTATTATCTAAAGCACCCTCACCATATAAAGCATTTTGCAAAGGCTCACTTATTTCTAAACCAAGCCAAAATTAAAAACAAAAAGAAATCAAATATGTACATTATTTCAATTAATTACTCTAAAGTTGTTCCCTAAAGCAATTTTTTTTTTCCATACATCCATCTTTTTTTAAACATCATCTATCTATCCATCTATATATATTATTCACATCACTTTTCATCCATACTCGCAAACTTAAGGGGACAGTTTGCAATGAAGTCTATAGGTTCCCAATTCTTTACTTGTAAAAAGCTCACATATTGAAACTGCGAGGTCAATTCATACATTAGTGACAACAATAAAGAAAACAAAAATAATATATTAGTGATACTTTCTGGGGTGCTATTTGGCCCATTCAGCAGTCACCTTATATCATTTGTGTTCTATGCTACATTTTTCAGGCAAGGAGTACCATTATGAGTGTTAGAAGGATGCCCAGGCAAATCACATTTCAACTGCACAAAGGCTCTAATAACTGAATTTCCAATTTGTTTTCTCTGGATATTTCTTAATTTTTTTGTATTCTTACTTTACATTTCACTCTAAGCCATTCGTATTTGGAATATAGAGTTAGGTTATATATATTCCAAAACATATCAAAGAGCAATGCTTTAATAAAAAGGTGTAGGATCTATTTGAACAAACTTTTATACAAAAATGAGTAAAAATCCAGTAACAGACAGCTGCTATAATACCCATTTCCCAGCAAAGGAAACATTTTGAGATCTATGGTTCATAGGGAAGATTTCTGTCCACACTGTTCCCAATAATATTCATTCACCAAAAATTCTTATATTATCAATTCACTGATAATATTTAATAATCTAATTTCAAACTTTAAAGACTTCCTAAATATTCATCAATCTATAATCTATCCATTTGCTCAAGCCAATAAGAAAGACAATATTCATCAAAATGAAAGGTAAAATTACCTGGGCTATAGTATGAAGCACCAATTCCAATGGACATCACACCTGGAAATGAAAATCATAAAAATTACAATCTATCACTCTGTGAATTAGTCTTTTTCTTTTTGATGTACCTATGAAGATTTTTCCTTTCTTGGCCATAAAGAAATGATATAAATAGAAACAATATAACCTATATTCTTTATAGATAAAATCTCTTCACATTTGTTTGATTTGTAGAGTTTGAAGACTTTCTACATGTACTTTGTCTTCTGGAAAATCTAATTTAAGTATATTTGAACTCATTGCCTCCAGGGTATATGTACCCATTTGTCATGTATGTTGAGAATGGCCATTTAACTGGTAACACATGTCGTGCCTTCATTATCTCAGTCCAATCACTTTCACATGTGGACTTTGCTCTGTAAAAGATGGGAGTTTTTGAAAGAAATTAGGTAAAAAAAATAGCATTAAGGCTTATTATCTCACAGGTCTGAATCAAAGTCACAAAACAAGGCCTCTTCACAATTTTAGCCAGCCTAGAGACATTGAGTTAACATATGGGGAGATAATACTAAGAACTACAAATACTGGACATGTGAACACTGATCAAATGATATGCAAGCTCAAAGAGTAAAGGTAATAAGTTGCGATGTTTCCACCTTAACCTCTCATCGGACATTTTATTCTTTCCTGCCATAGGAAGACAGAATTGAAATATGAGTTGTTCTTTTCTTACTGTATTTATTTTCTTTCAGACACTGCTAAATTTACCAGACTATGATATCATAACTGATAAACTTTTCTTTCATAATCATAAGTGATACATCAAAGTGCAGCAACAGAAAATCAGTCTGCAGCAAATTATAACGACTACTTTAATAAAACTAAACTTTATTACTTAAAAAAATACACATTCAACTCTTTGTCCTGGGATGGTATACCATACTAACCATATCTACTGTGATTTTAGTTCAGTGATTGTGTTTATACATTTGATTCCAAGTAATTTCCTAGTACTTCCTATCATTCACTGCTATCAGCATTTTAAATTAATAATAATCATAACAGAATCAATTTTCATAGCACTGGGAAAAAAACTTAATTGTTGCACTTCAATTAATTATGGCTACATGAAGAAAAAAAAGTAAATAAAACAAGAGCTGAAATAAAGAGTTGAAATCAGGAAGATATATAGGAGGCAAAGCATTCTCCCAACTCAAGAAAATTTGTTGTACTGTAGAGCCAGCAGATAAGAATGCACTACGCACCAGAATGGGAGAGGTTAGAAGATACTAGCAAAATTTTTTGGGGAAAACAAAAAATCTTGAACCAAAAACTATTGGTCTTATCACTTTCCATGTGACAAACATCTTGAACATGATAAGAAAAATATAATGAAGGAAATATAATAAGCAAGCTTCCAGAGGCTTGTGAACTTTTAGAGATTTACTTGAGGAAGAACTAAGAACTTGGTATCCTAATCAAATAATCAAAAACATTAGGATAGGCAGTATCAGACATTAATGTAAAGCTGTCCTTCCATTTCTGGAGTGTATACAGATCAAGAAATATATTACCATTAAAGAGTTTAAGGTTTAATTTATACCATTTTAGCCTTCTTCTCACAATGCAGTGTAATACTGTGAACAAGAGATTGTTTCAAGGGATGTCAAAATAAAACAGAAAAAACAGGTATACATTTAGTTAGAACTGGCTGATTTACACAATGATTCTGGTAATTGTTTCAATCACTTGCTTGCAATGGATAATAACAATACTGGATCCAATGGATTCTTCTCATTTTCTACTACTCACACCTATACGAAGCATGCCACAGAAACACCTCCCCATACCCCACAATCCTGGCCTCGTTAGGAGGGGAGAGCATGAATTACCAAAAATTGTGTTAAAATATTTAACATATGTATAATGTCACAATTCTATCTAATGAAGGGGGCTGCACTCACTAGAACCCCACATAGGACTATTGTCACCTATGGCAGGCCAGGCTGCAGGATTGATCACAGGGAAGCAAGTTTTTAAAAAAACATCTTTAAAGTAATAATGCAGTAAGCAGTGCCCTCTACACACTGACCTATAAGATGAAGATTCATAAATACTGTGCAGTACTTGGGGTACAGCCCCTTGGATCGATGAAAATAATAACACACTCTACTAAGAAAGCAAGCACAGTTCCCAAGGACATGTTACAATCAACTTCAGGGGAAGTAATGATGGGAGCAAGAATGGAAGGAAGCCAGCATGTGAAACTAGCATTAGCATTACATGTCATATGCAATTCATGTACTGTGTAGATGAAACAGTACAAGTATGTGTTTCCTCCAGTGAAGATCTGTGCTACATGGTCCACAACCACACAGATCTTCCAAATGCACTTCTGGAAGATGTAGAGAGGGCTCAATGTGAGGGGTATTCTATTCCTTCTACGATTTTGTACAAAAGACGTGTAGTTCTCATGAGGCTCTGCTTGAGCTGTGCTCCACAAATGGGTTAATATGTTGAGAAAAGGCCTTCTTCATTTCAAAGGTAACTTGTCAAAAGCTCTATCTTGCCATGAATACGAGGAGGATTCTTTGTTGTTTAGGTTAGGGGATACAAGAGCAGCACTGGGGGGTAGTAGCCTTATCATGGGAGGGTTGCCTATATTGAATTTATAGTTCATTTTCAAGTTTTTGGAGTATAAGGGGCATTCTCAGGAAAAAAACTATAAACATGAATAGTAGAGGGGGAAAAGGAAACCACCAGTACTAGAATTTACATGGTTTGTCACACACGTGTCTGAAACTATTGTATTAAGTGATTTCCTTAGGTCTCATAAGTTGCCACAATAAAGTTGTCTGCTGAAGAAAACCTAGAGCACAAAGCACAAAAGCCATGACAGTCCTTCATTAAGTAATATTCTGAATAAATATGAAAAAAATGATAATGAGAAAATCATCTGTTAAAACAGCTCTCCATTTCCACTCCAACTATTTACTGTAACCCATGCTTTTATAAATCAGCCTTTTCTTCACTCTTAATTCATAAAGGCATCCCAAGATAATGCAGAAGTAATAAAAACTTATCATAAAAGTCGTTAATGCCTGTTTTCCGCTATGCAAATGACATGCAAATAAGGGTGACCAATCATTTTTATCCTCCCAAGAAGAACCAAGAGGAAGACAAGAATCCTCGTAACAAATCAAAATTACAAAAGACCCATTTATCACAATCAGACTCCGAAGAAATAAAACCTCGCTCAGTCAAACACAACACAAAAAAACACAGCATCATCCTCCATTCCACACACGCGAGCCTGTCTCAACAAGTCCACCAACACACAACCACCGAAATTCACCCCAAAAAACACCTCAACCGCCACACCTAGACCCCACACACAAACATTCAACAACACAGGAGATATTCACCGACGAAAATACTCCATGACTTCGTCCCAGGAGCCACAGAGAGGTGAAGAAGTTCCGGACTGTTGAAAGCCACGTTCATCTTGCGCCCTTCGTCATAGTCGTCTCTCGAGCGTTTGTTTACATTTGTCAGCTGATGAGGGGCGACGCGGGGGGAGGGGGGAGGGAGGAGGGGAGGAGGGGGAGGAGGTGGTTTGTGGAGAAAGAAGTAGAAGGGCGACGCCGGGAAGGGAGTGGGAAGGGGGGAGGGGGATGATAGGGTAGCGGGGTGATGCTAGTGGGGGAGGGGGGGTTGTAGATAAAGGGTGATGTAAGAGTGGAGGGAAAATGGGGATTTGTGGAGAAAGTGGAGACGCGGAGGGGGGAGTTTTTTTTTTTTCTTTTTCTTTTTTGAATAGAGACGCGAGAGGGGAGGAGGAGAAGAGGGTCGCTGGACATAAGTGCGAAGCAAGGGGTTGGGAAAAAGGATAAAGAAGGTGATGCTGGGGGGAGGAGAGAAAAGAGCGCCGTGGGGGGAGGGGGTGAAGAGTGCTTGTGGATAAATATAGGGGAAACGCGAAGAGAGGATAAGGGGGAGTTGTGGATAAAGGGGTGATGCTAGGGATGAGAGGGGAGGTTTGTGGATAAAAAGGTGACGCGGAGGGGTTGGATAAAAGGGGGTTTGTGGATGAAAAGGTGATGCTGGGAGGGGGAGATGAAGAGATGTTGGAGATGAGGGAGAAGGGGGCTTGAGGCTAAAGAGGTGATGCTTGGGGGGGGGGGGGGATTTGCCTTGCAGAATTAGACCTTTCTTATTCTTCATAATTTTTTCTCTCTCTTCATTTTCTTAAACTAATATCAAAAGAGCTTATTTTGGATCCATTTCTAGTTAATTTAGTGTCAGCAATGAAATATAACATCAGATGCATTGATGAAGTGAGATCACTGTTTATCTCGAATG